TCAGTGTTAGTGGGGAGTAGACGAGGAGAAGGTGCTTGAGAAGGAGCAGAGGAAGGAACCCCAAAAGGTTCCACATATCTGCAGGCTACTGCTGGCCTGGAGGCTCTGGAGCCCCTGCAAGAAAAACACAGTGGAAGGAGGAAGAGAGATGGGTCTGGGGAGGGGAGGGCACAACTGACCCGTGATGGCCAGAGAAGGTGGGAGTGAGTCCCCATCAGGATATGGTCCATGAGAGGAGACAGGGAGCCGCTGGTGAAGAGAATGTGATCAGGAGGTCAGACATCAGACCATTTCCAGGGCTGCCATTGACTTTTTATGTGTAATGAAAATCAAGGTGGAAAAGCATCCTTGTCCTTTTCTCTGTGGCAGCCAAAGACCTCCCCACGCAAAACCTAGTGAGGCGATGCTTCCAAGGCCCCACTGCTGCAGCACAGAGCTGGACTTGCCGCTGCTACCCTGGGACTTCACCTCCTGATCAGACAACAGATCAGGCCTCTGCTGGGCACTCTTATGCCCAGGAAGATGGTGCATCAATCTGTGAACTGCACCCCACTTCTCAGCATATCCGAGAGCAAGGAACAGCCCAAAGAGTCAGAAACAGGAGCGCTTACATTATGTCCCCATGGAGTCCCCCACTAGCAGCCATATGCTATGAGAATACAGCTCCTTAGGCAAGTTCCAGCTCATCAAACAACAGGGCCTAAGAACAGGAATGGCACACATTCATGGGACCCTCACTTAGATTCCAAACAGCTCTGAGGAGATGCTGTGGTGCTGGGCAGGGGCTGGAGCGATTTGTGGAGGAAAGAGACCTGGAGGGGACACCACCTAGGTGGGAGTCCCATATGAACTTTAAAGCTCCTTGAGGCCTGAGGCCTCCCTCATGTGAACAAGGTACCCTCTCCCACTCATTTTGCCTCCAGCTTTCCTGTTTTCTTGAGCTTCTCCAGGAAAAGTGTAAGGACCTCTCACTGGGAGAGACCACACCTCTGTCCATCCAATGTTTACTAAGCAGCTACTATGCCCGGCACCCAGCTTACAGAAAGGAGTAAAAGCACCCTGGCCTTCCAGGAACTTAGAGATGCTGCTGTGGCCACAGACTCCGGGAGAGCAATTGCAGCTCTGGGTTACAAGGACCTAATGCTTGGAGCATGGGTCTACCAGAAATAGGATACTTGATTATGAAACAGTGAAGGTGAATTGAAAGTTGTGCTCTGGAGGATAGGTTGTCAGGATAAGAGGGGATGGACATTCTATTCTGTACGAACCATAGCTTCAAAGCAAGGAGTCCTGTGGCACAGGTTGGGTCAGGGACCAGGTACCCCAAAGCACACTTTGACTCTGGCCAGTGGTAGTCCAGAAGAGGGGAGAGAGCTCAGGCTGAAACTTGAGGCACCTGCACCCCAACAGGAGAAGGCTTGGCAGGTTTTCAGTAGGGGACTGATTTGCAAGGTAGAGAGTGAAGGGTACTGTGTGGAGGACCAACAGAAAACACACAACACAGGACTCTAGGCCAGTCAGGAAAATCAGGGAATAGCACAGACACCAGAGAATGTGGCCTGACCTCAGCAGGTAGCAAAGGGAACAAAGGAAGAGGAATCTGTCTTCTTACATGTAAGGTAGAGGCAGGGACCTAGAACTTGGCTCTCCAGTCCCTGGGCAGGACAGTGTAAGGAAGCATGGTGATCCTGAGGGAAGGCTGTGGTGTGAAAGAGGAAAAGCCAGGCTGGCACGAAGTTGGGATGTGGTTTTGGCAACTTAGGTCTGAGGGGCAGCAGCACATAGGGTGGTGCTATTCGGCTCCCTTCAAAACAAAAGATGGTTATTCCCTGCCTCACTGGCAGGAACCAACAATGCATCTAGGGGAAAGGAAAGCTATGGGGGTTCATCCCTGTGGTGCAAGCCTCAGCCCCGAATTCTGTGGACACAGGCAGGCGTCTCCCTTCTCCCAGTTGCCATTCCTCTGGAGTGCACCCTAAAGTACACACTCAGGGTTCGGTTAGGTCCATGAGGACCCTGGTTTGGCCATTTTCCCCTCTTGACTAAGCTTCCTCCTCAGTTCTGCCCTGTGCCTCTGGAAGCTCCTCCCACAGCTCTGTGGGCTCCTCCAGAGCTCCTCCCCCAACTTGACCACAGGTTCCCCCTCCCTGGTGCAGCACTGTCTTTCCCCAGCTCTCTCCAAAGATCTGCCTGCATCTCTGCACCAGCTCCTTCCAGAGTGCTTGAGCACTCAGCAACTCCCCCAATTCTTAGCCACAGCTCTGCCTATTCGCTATAATCAGCATCTCCTCAGCCACATCTGCCCCCAGTTCCGCCCTCCTTCCCCCAGTTCTGTGCTAGCGCCTAGCTCACCTTTCTCACAAGTCACCCTGTTCTTGCATAGTTACTTCTCCCCCAGCTCTTTCCTATAAAGACAACCTCAGAGACAGGTCAGGTGGCATCCACCTGTAATTCCAGTGGCTTGGGATCCTGAGGCAGGATGGCGAGTTCATCAGGCTCAGAAACCTAGTGAAGCCCTAAGCAACTCAGTGAGAACCTGTCTCCATATAAAATATTAAAAAGGAGGGGGGCTGGGGATGGGCTGGTTTCTGGCTCAGCGATAGAGTGCCCCTGGGTTCAATCCCTAATACCAAAAAAAAAAAAAAAAAAAAAGAAAAAAGAAAGAAAACCGCAACTCTTTCCCATAAAACTCTGTGCTCTTCCCTTGCCCCTCCCACAAAGCTGCCCCCCATCCTGCTCCAGTAAGGGCTCATAGACCCACCCAGCTCTTCCCACACTCCCCGCCCCCCCCCAGAATTCCTAACCCAGCTCTCATACCTGTGCCCAGCTCCTCATAGCCATGCTCCTCATCTGAAATCTTACCACTCATAAGCCCTTCCCTAGTCCTCCCATAAATCCACCCCACTCTACTTGGGTTTCTCAACCCCACCCACAACTCCTGCATAGTAACTCACAGCCCTGCCCAGCTCCCAAGTTCCAACTCCTGCCCCTGAACGTAGCCCACAACTACTCCTACCTTTGCATTTGAGGCCAGACTCCCATGACACATTAAAACTCGGCCCCACCCCAATTCCTACCTGAGTAATAATAGCCCTACCCAGCTCCACATTTTTTGTTGTTGTTGTTGTTGTGTTTTGGTACCAGGGACTGAAATCAGAGGCACTCAATCACTGAGCCACATTCCCAGCCAAATTTTGCATTTTCAGAGACAGAGACTCACTGAGTTGCATAGCCCCTAGCTGTTGCTGGCTATGAAGTCGTGATCCTCTCAACTCAGCCTCCAGAGCCACTGGGATTTTGCACCCAGGCCAGCTCCAACACTTCTCCCTCAGCCCAGTCCCAACAGGAACTCAGGAACTGGGCACTCAGCCCCACCCAGCCGCCTCCTACAGAGGCCAGCTCCCAAACAGTACACAACTCCTTGAGCCCCGCCCAGCTCCTCCCACGCTATTTCATTACTCACAGCCCCGCCCCAACTTCTACCTTAGTCCACAGCTCCATCCTCAACTCCACCTCACTCCTTCGCACCACCCCTCCCAATTCCTCTCTCATTCCACGTAGCCCCGCCCAACTCTATCCGCAGACCTGCCTCCAACACCTGCTTCACTCCCCGCAGCCCCGCTGCCAACTCCCGCCCTACAACTCACCGTCCCGCCTGGCTTCTCCCACATCCGGTCCCCACCCCTACTCACCCCGCCCACCCTGCTCCACCTGCGGGCCCGCCTGGCTCCACCTGCAGCCCCAAACCCACCTCACTCCTTGCAGCCACGCCCCCAACAGCTACGTATTCCCCATAGGGCCCGCCCCAACTCCTACCTCCTTGCAGCCCTGGGCTCGGCTACAGGTTTCCCCACCCCCGCCCAGAACTCTCTCTCCTCACAGCCAAGCCCAACTCCACCCGCAGCCCCCCCTAACGCGCCCCCAACACTTACGTCACACCAAGCCCCGCCCCTACCTTTCTCATTCCTTGCAGGCCCGCCACCAACTTCCACCTCACTCCTCACAGCCCTGCCCAAAACTTCTAGGTCTTGCAGCCTCGGGAAACTCCTCCTTGCAACCCTGCCCGGAACACCCACCCCACTGCTCTAGGCCCAGCACACCTCCACCCCCATCTCTTCCCGCAAACAGGCCCGCAACTCCTCCCTCACTCCTGAAAGCCCCGCTCCCAAATACCACCTCATTCTTGCAGGCCCGCCTCAACTCCTACCTCACTCCTTGCAGTCCCGCCAAGCTCCTGTGGACAAGCCCACCCAGAGCTCCTATCTCACTCCTTGCTGTCAGGCCCCCAGAGCCTAGGTCACTCATGGAAACACCGCCCCCAACTCCTACCTAAGCCCCGCCGAGCTCTTCTGGAGAAACCCGCCCACAGCCCCTCTCTCACTCCTCACAGCCCTGAACAGCTCCACCCGCAGCCCCGCCCAGCTCCTCCCACTGACACGCCTCCAACGCCTACGTCACTCCTCCCGCCACGCCCCCAACTCATCCTCATTCCTTACAGCCCCGCCCCAACTCCTACCTCACTCCCAGAAGCCTCGCTCAGCTACCCTGGCGGCCCCCCGCGCCCCCAGCTTATACCTCAGCAATGTCCCCCCTTCCTACCTCCATACTCAACCCGCTCAAAACTCCTACCTTAGCACTCTCTCATGGCTGGCCTTTCTCTAAGCTCCAACCCTCCCCGCAGCACCGTCCCTAACGTTCTCTGAGGCTGGCCTCATTCCAACCTTTCCTTTGACTCCCGTGGGTCCTTTTCTAACTCTACTCCCTCTTCCTGGTCACGGGACTGCAGAGCTCTGATCCTGGCGGGATGGGCCAGGGCGTCAGGGCCTAGGGAGTCCCAACAGCATTTTCTCCCTGCCGCTTGGGGAGGAAGTGCGTGCTGGCATAAGTGCATGACTACGTACGCGCGTGGCTCCCTATCCGTGGCACGTGGCTACAGGCGGTCGGCCTGATTGGCTGGGTACAAACAAGCGGCGAACCGACGTGAGTTGTACGTAATCACGTGTCGGCGTGCTTGCATGCGTGGGTGGGTGCGTGCGTGCCTGCCTGTGCTCCTGCTGGAAGGGACTTTGGGGGCTGGGCTAAGGCGCCAGCGTTAATGCCTGCGAGCCCCTGCCCACAACCTAAGGTGTCCCAGAGGCGGCAGCAGCGCAGCCCCAACACCGGCCCAGCGCTCTCCTGGGCCTCATCATCTCCTCACCAGCCGGCGGAGCCCTTCTCAGGGCTGGTGGCCTCTCCTGGGCCGCGGTGGACTGTGCGGTCCGATGGTCGCAGGTCGGAGTTGGACCAGTGCCAGTGAGTCCAGAGTCCTGAGACTGCCCGCGACCTAAGAGCCAGGATCACCCCTGCGGGCGCCTGTGTGCTCCTCGCTTCTCCTAAGGTGCCTCTGGACTGGGGTTTCCCTGGAAGTGGGACTCAAAACCCATGCATTGGAGCCCTGGTCAGCTCCTACTCCGACAGGCTTCACGCCCTATCTTGGGCCAAGTGCGTGTTTGTGATGTGCTTCTGCCAGCACACAGCTAGTGTGCTGCTCCACTGACACCTGCCCCACCTTACCTTGAGCTGTGGACTCCCTGAGACCCCAGGCGATGAGATGTTCAGCTCTGCACTGGGTCGCTGTGCCCTGTGAGGTCTGCCCAGAATTAAAGTGAGGGTGATGTGATTTGGGGCCTCCAAACCTTGGCCCCGAGACCATGTGAGGAGAGGTGCCAGTTTTCTGCTCTTGGATCCTGGGTCCTGGCCTAAGAGCAGGGCTCCTTTCCCAAACTGACTTCCCACCCACCTAACTGATACATCATGTGATCCTTGACCCAGAGGGGACTAGCCGCACTGTCGTGGGCATCGGTAGCAGACCCAGGCTCTGGTGAGGTGCACATGTGTGTTCCCCTTGAAACATGCCCTCCCAGATAGTCCTGGTCTTTGGTGCTCGCTGAGTAGGAAAGCCTTCTGGTGCCACTATACGGCATTGCTGTCTTATCCTTCACCTGCCCTCCTTATCTCCTGTCCTTGTGCAGGTGAAGAAGCTGAGACAAGCAGAATGGGGCTTCCCCCTCAAGCCCCAGGCAGGTACCCTCTGCAGCCCCAGGCAGGAGGGGGCTCAACCCCCTGATTTCCTTTAGTTGTCACTCGGGAGTCCACCCACGCAGGTCATGTTTCAGAGTTGTGGTTTTGTGGTGTCCATGAGGAAGGTGTCACCTCAGAAGCTGAGTGGTGGGAACTAGGCAGACCTTCACTCTGGTCACATATCTCAGTAGAGGAGATAGAAATGGCGAGGCCTGGTGAGAGGCATTCTGCCTTCCTCATAAGTCATGAGGATAGGGGATCCTTTGTCACCCATCAGCAGGATCATGATGCTGTGGGCTGTGTGTGGGACAGTGGCACCACTGGTTGGGTGAGTCTTTGTGGAAGGCCACTTGCTGGCCTATTTCAGCATCTTTGATGTGTATGCCAACAAGTTTGTGACAAAGAATATCAATTCTAGTGGCAGAAAGTGGGAAGCAGCTTCTAACTATCCATCAGTAGAGCAATGCGTGATTGTGTAAATTATGGGACCGCCAAGAGTGGGATGCCATCCAGAGGACGAATAATGACGCAGATCAAGAGGTACAGAGAAGGAAGAATGTGCTTGAAGTGCTATTGAATGGAAAGGTCTGGCCCTACTTTGTGGAGATGTATGGGTGGGGAACACCTCACACCTATCTATTATTTTGCCAAGATAGCCGTAAGAAAGTGCCACAAATTGGGTGACTTAAGGAACAGGAAGATATCCCCACACATTTCTGGAGGCTGGAATGTGAAACCAAAGTGTCAGGGGCCTCTGTGTCTTCTGTGGTCCCTTGGAGAATCTGCTCTAGCCCTCTCCCAGCTTCTGGCTGTCGGTTGGCAATCTTCGGTGTTCCTTGACTTGAGGAAGCATCACCCCGATGTCTGCCTTCATCTTCTCATGGTGTTTTCCCTCTGTGTCTGCACACCTCTAAATTCCCCAGTTTTGTAAGGACACCATCCATACTGGATGTGGGCCACCCTAGACAGTTGAATTTTACTGGATTCCATTTGTAAAACATCCATCTTTATATTTATGGTTGTGGTTTGAGGTGCTGGGGGTAAAGCCCTTCAAGATAGGGTTTCTAAGGGGACACAGGGAAACCCTGAGGACCCAACAAAGGCCCTGGGGTAGGAACTGGCCCTGGGATGGAAGACAGGCCTGTGCAGCAGCAGCAGCAGGGAGGTGGATAAAGGGGAAAGAGGGCTGATGGCAGGGGCAAGGAACCAGATCAGGAGGGAGCTTGTGGGCCTGGTGAGAAGTGTCCATTCTGCCCTGGTTGGGCAGGAACCCTTGGAAGGTTTCAGCAGAGGAGTGCCATGATGTGGTTGCCCCTGAATTGGGGTCGCTCTGACTGCAGCTTGGATGCCAGAGAGCAGTGCCGCATGCTGAGCAGTGATGAGGATACTGCTTGAGAAGCCAGCAGGTGGTCGGAGATTGGACTGGGATGATGGCCATGTAGACCGACCATGGCATGGCATGAGATTGGGGATAGGCTTTGGAGATACGGCCATGGGACATAGGTGGTGGATGAGGGAAAGAGAGGGAGGAAGGAGAGCTCTAGGTCTGGGGCAGAGATATGGTATAGGTGGTGACCCCACCTACAGATGTGGAAGGGAGGTGGATTTGGTGTGCAGGGGTTGGGTCCTCAGTCTGTTGGCCTGACCAGGAAAGGCTGAGGCCAAGAAAGTTTGGCCAGTGGGCCATGGAGTAGAGGGGCCAGCAAGCACTCTGGAAGCCAGGGAAGGAGTTGGAAAGGGGATGGTCAGCCAGACCTGGGCTGCTGAGGGTCATGTGAGGTGACGACAGAAGTAGCCAAACCCATATTCAGTGCCTGTGGGATACCAGATACCCAAAGCGGAGGGTTCATGTAGCGAGGGCTTGAGTTCGGTGAGGTGAGGAGGGAGACGTAGAGAGCTTTGCTGAGGTCTCTGCTGTGCAGAGTTATCGCGGAGGGAGACAGAAGCTAGAGGAACATCCTTCACGTGACGCAGCATGTGCGGGCAGAGGAGTCCTTTTGTGTCAGGGGGGAGTAGTTTTCCTGAGTGAGAGCACAGAGGCAAGGCCCAGGCCCTGGAGTGAGGTAGAGAAAGGATGACTTGTTAGGGGAAGCCCAGCCCTAGAAGGAGGAGGAAGGCAGAAGATCTGGCACAGAAAGGGAGGCTGTGGGTTGGTGGAGGAATGAGTGCCAGGCTTCTTTTGTCCTGACGGGGCCTTGTCTTTGGAGGGTGGGCGTGTTTCCTTAAAACCATAGGAGATACTTGGGGTGAAGTGGATGGGCTTGAAGAGGGTACAGGGAGGCACTAGGCAGAGTGGAGGGGGCAGCTCATGGGTGAAGGGCAGAGGCGCCAGAGGACAGGACCCCAGGCTTGATGTTGCTGCCGCTACCAAGAGTAGCCACCATTTGGGACTGTCCTACTAGGTGCTCCCAGCACCTGGCCTGCCCTCACAGCCCCAAGGAAACCGAGGCGGCATGACCTTCAAAGAGTGAGCTGAGGTTCTGCCATCAAGCCCTGGTGGCTGCCCTGATGAGGGCCTGGGCTTCTCACTGAGCATAGCACAGGCTTCCTGTGGAAGGGGTCCGTCGTCTCCTGAGGTACATGCGTAAAAAGGTGAGGGCCTCGTCAGGGAGTGCCTGAGGTCAGTCTGTTCCACTGTGGGCAGTTGCTTCATCTTTCAGCTCCTCCTCCTCTCAGCCATAGAGGGGGCCTAGCAAGTGCTACTGGGCCTGCTGGGTCATTTGAGGATTAAATTCCGTCTGAGCATTCCAGGGCCGGGCACACGGAAGGTGTATGCACACTGGGTAATTGTTCTTATTCTCAGGATTCCCTTGCCTTGGCTCAGGTGGGTGGGGAATGGGGCTCCAGGGGCATGGCACCCAAGTGGGTCTGGAGTAGATACTGACAGGCCACTTGACATCACAGGGAGTTCTGACACAGGAATCGATAAATGTTGGACACCCAGGAATCGTGCGCAGCAGCCTGCAGGGGTGGGAGCCAGACACTGAGGGACGGCAGTGCTTGTGGTGGCGTGGCCAGGTGCCGAGAGTGGTGTTGGGGCGATGTGGGCAGGCAGAAGAAGAGAGATCCAGGCCTGTTCCTCTGTGCCAAAGGCAGCCCACTCAGGGTGAAGCCCCATGTGGGCCAAAGGGGGCCTCCCTCCTCTGTTTTCACCTAGGACATGGTGACTCCGGTCATGCTACTGACCACACACTGCCCTGCCTGTGCCTTTCTCTAGCTGTTGCCATCCTGCTCCACGTGCTCGCCAAAGACTCCACAGGATGGAACCGAATCATCCAAACCCCAGCACCCTGCCTTGAGCCCATGGTGGAGCAGGGCCTCAGTGACTGTGTGGTGACAGGCAGAAGCAGCGAGCCCTCAAGGTCAGTGCGGTTTCAGGGCCCGGGGGAAGGACGGCTTTGCTGGCTGTGAGCCCAAAGGGAAGAAGATGAAGTTTTCCTGCCTGTCCTTCCGGCAGCCTTATGCCGGTTTTGTCTTGAATGGAGTCAAGACCCTGGAAACGCGGTGGCATCCCCTGCTGAAGAGCCACCAGAACTGCACCATTGCCATCCACATTGCTCAGAGGGACTGGGAAGACAGCTCCTGGAGGGAGCTGCTGGTGGAGAGGCTGCAGATGAGCCCTGGGCAGATCCAGGCCTTACTCTGGGAAGGGGAGAAGTTTGGCCGAGGAGTGATAGCTGGTAAGTGGGGGCATGCCGACCAGGGTCCAGAGAGCTCCAGATTTGCCCCCCAGATGGTACTCTGAGGTTCATGGCTTCTGTTCTGTTTTCCCTTGAACTGGTGGGCACGTTGGCTGCAGTTTCCCTGAGCAACACAGCTTTGGAGGAGCCGCAAGAGGCACTGGGCTGGGGGTCTGCGGGCCTGGCTGCACACAACCTTGGTAAATCACCTCCCTCCCCTGGGCTGCAGTTGCTATTTGTGATCTGAAAAGTGTCTGTCTGTGGCACGTGGCCACTGAGTGCATGCCTCCAAGTCCAGAAGGGGCAGCACTGCATGCCCTTCCAGTTGAGTGGCCTCTAGAGTGAGGCTGCCTGCCCGGCTTCATGTGCCTGCCACACCCGTGATGTTCCCTGGGCGCGTGCCCAACCTCTCAGCTGTCCAGGTCCCGCGTTGGCACCTGCCACCTGGTGACCTCCTGAGGCGTCCCGTTGGCAGTGGTTACCCCCGCAGGCACGGTGCCCTTCTGATATGTAACTGCCACCTCAGCAGTCTTATGGGGCCCACCCATCCCTTGTGCATCCTCAGTGAGGACAAGGCTCTTTCCTATTCCTGTCACCCTGGATTTCATGAACAGAGTGTGGCAGGTCACCAGTGTTGAGTGAGAAAGACTCAACTTGCCTCTAGTCTTTTTAGTGATATTTTGGGCTCCCGCAGTGTGCCTTTCAATCACCCTGTCATCACACAGCCGGCCTTGGATGATGGAAGGGAAAGCCTTCTGTGTGTTTTCTCTTGGGCACAGGGCTCGTGGACATCGGAGAAACGTTGCAGTACCCGGAAAACTTAGCTCCCGACGAGGTTGTGGAACTGGAAAATCAAGCTGTTCTTACCAACCTGCGGCAGAAGTATTTGACAGTGGTTTCGAACCCCAGGTGGTTACTGGAGCCCGTACCCCAGAAAGGGGGGAAGGATGTGTTTGAGGTGGACATCCCGGAACATCTGATCCCCGTGGCACACAAGGTGTGACCGCTGTGGGCTCCAGAGAGGAAAGTTGTTGAGACACCCAGTAAATCACGAAACAGACCCATGAAAATCAGGTTAGGTGTGAATCGCCACAGCCCTCAGCACTGCTCGTGGACACAGATTGCTATGCTCACTAGAAGGGAACGGGGGAGGCGGACTTTCCCTGGGCAGTGCCTCCTTGGGCTCATTGAGATCCTGTGTGGTACCTTGACCTTCAGGGGACAGGCAAGGCCACCAGGAAATGTCTTGGCATCGCCCCTAATTTTGGTCCAGCTACTTTCTAGATTGTGCAAATAAATGTCCAGATGGTAACTGTTTAGTGCTTGGGGCACCCTTGTGGGTTTCCCCGGCTCTTTCTTTGAGTCAGAGCTCTGGGGTGCATGAAGAGCACCCAGGGGCATGGTGGGAAGTCTGGGACCTGGCACTGAATCCTGCTGGAGAATGACCAGCAGTTCATGGCCCAGTGCATCCCAGGTGAAGAGAACATTGGACTTGGAGCAGCCATCTGTTCCCTCTTGTCATTCTCACACTGTGGGAAAAGTGTCCCTGGGTTCTGCATGGATGTCATGCAGCTATTTCCTTCCCAAGCAGAGGATCCTAAATACTGCTGTGATTGAGTCAGGTCGACTCTTGTAGAGACACGTGTGCTGTTTATTTTGTAGCAATCTCTGGCGACTTTGTAGCACAGTCTGTAGTGGTAGTTATCTGTGGGGACCAGGGGCTCCCCCCACCCTCATGGAGACTGGCATGGCCTGACTCTTGTGAGGCAGGATATAGTACCGTCCATCCCCTCCCAGATGGGAGCCTGACTTTAGGCCTGCAAAGAGGCCCACTGTGTGTTGGGAGACTTCCTGGCAACTCCGGGGTGGGGTTGCCCTGTCAGGAAGGAATCTCCTGCGTTGACATACCTGAGTTGTGTGAGGCGATTCCCAGGTCAGGAGCCAGGCTCTTCTTTCTTCTGAGCAGCAGGCCATTCAGGGACCAGATCTTGCTGAGCTCACACTCACCATTGCCCAGCCAGGTCCTCCGCTGGGGGCGTGGAACAGCTGCTGCTTCCAAAGGAAAGGGGTTAGGGGAACCTAAGCAGCACCAGCCACCACATTGTGCAAGAGTAGCCCGGGAGGTTACAAAGAACAGGACTCGCGGCTCTTCTTTAGATCATTTATTGACCCCTTCAGAGTTTTGTTTTCCTCTGTCAAGACCAAAAGTGGGTTCAACATTAGAAAAGGTTGACTTTTATCACTGGTGCTGCGTGGGCTGAGTTCAAGGACCTGTGTTGTCCTTGAACTGCTCACAGAGTGCACATTTGTAATCTGAGGAGCCCTCCTGCACCTCCTCCTCATTGTCATCATCCTCCTCACCCTCGCCTTGGCCTTCACCTTCACCATCCTCCGGGGGCTCCCTTGGGGACATGGCTGAGAGGGCGGCCAGCAGGATGGAATAACAAGTGTTGTACAAAGACATGACTGAACAATAATCAGGGTAACCCTGGGGGCTTCCGGGCACTTCCCCCTCGCCTTCCATTCCGGCAGTAGCTTGGGAGGAAGGTGTGCCGTCTTCATCCCCATCGGGGCCACTTGGCTCCTGCGGGAGCTGCTTTTCCAGGGGTTGTTCAGAGACACTGCTCATCGCCCACACCCCAGAGGGCATGAAGGGCTGTGTGCCTCTGGGCCCCTGGTCGTCCAGGGCTTCCCTCTGGGGCAGCACGTGCTCTGCCTTGACCTCATGGTGGAAGCGTGGGGAGCGTCTGGTAGGGACCAGCTTCTTTTTCTTGGCAGATGATGCGCCGCTCTCTCGCCCAGCCGGGTTCTTCAGTGGCCTTGGTATGCAGGTCCCACCCTGAGCAGAGCTTCTGGCTTCTCCTTTTTTACAGATGTTTTCCAGGAGCCCTGGCTTGTCCTTCTGGAAATTGGAGTTGCGGTAGATCTGAAACAAAAGGAAAAGTTTTAGCCTTCCTGGGGTAAAGGGTGCCTTGCTCCGCCCACCCCCACCCAGCATCCTAATGGACTTGGTTTGAAATGGAGGAAATCATTTTCAAGTTCCTGGCCAGCGTGGCTGCCCTTCCTGCGAGACCCCACTAAAGAAAATTCATAGATCAAGGGGGTCAAACACATGCTTGACAGTAACTGGCCTCTCGGCCCTTTTTTCCTTGCCTTCAGATTATCTCTAAAGGGTTGTTGTCGCTTAACATGAAATGCTGATTGTTCATCTTTCCATAGGTGATCTACCACACTAGGCCAGTGATCCTTGGAAATGAGCCCTGTGCAGTGGGATTCATCTGGGGGCGCTAGGAAGGCATTCGAGAAACAGGTGACAGGAGTACTTTCTACTTTACCATCATTCTCTTCTTCCCCCGAGAGTAAGCTGATGCATCTTTTGGGCGGATCTTGCTGAATCCATAGAGGTTCAGCTGGCGAATGAAATTCTTCAGGCTGTCAGTTTCAAAAATCCTCTCTGCACCCCTCCGGCCAAGGACCTCTCTCTGGAAAAGGTCAGCCTCGATGACCATGATGTCTCCTTCGCCACCCCAGCACACAGACCTGAAGGTGTCATCCTCCACTATTGCCCAAAGCTTTCTGGGGAAGGAGAGCCTGAGAAGGTTCTCAGTGCCTTCCTCGCTGGTCACCGGCCGCCTAGGTTCTTCTGGTGGCTGGCTCCTACCTTCTGGTGGCTGGCTCCTACCTTCTGGCGGCTGGCTCGGTTCTTCTGGCGGCTGGCTCTCTCGGGAGCCGGGATCTTGGCTCAGGGCTCGGTCACCATACGGGTCCAAACCCTGTCCTGAATTCACCTTGGGATCAGGTGAAGGATGAGATAGGGGCTTGCTCGCTGGCTCTTTGCTGACCAGCGAGGCCACCTGGACTGCAGAGTGCTCTTTGACACACTCACTGGCCATGGCACTACACTATCAGGAGCATTTCCTACCCAAGACTGGTGTAGACTTCCTAGTGAGTCTAAAGTGCCTTCGTCCAGGGAAGAGGCTCTATAAATACAGTCCGAGAAGTTCTAGAGCCTCGTAGCAAGGCAACTAGGCACTGACATCACCGTCCTCTTTATTTGTCATGCGATGTCACAGAGCTGACAGGAAGCCAGGCTGGAGGGGGAGTGCTGGTGGAGGGGAGAGGAGGGGAGGGACAGCGGGGGGGGGGGGCAGCTTCCCTTTGCTCAAAGTGTACAAAGGTGTGGTTCACATTTCTAGAGAAGTCTCCCTTATGCTGACAGGCACATTGTGTCACCTGCCAGCCTCTCCCTAGAAGAGATGAGAAACCAAGACCCCATAGCGGCTCCACTCCCAGAGACAGAGGAGGCCTGTTGCAATCCTCTCTGATTTGCTCAAAGACCAGTCCCCAGTTAGTTTGAGCCTGGGTATTACTGAGCCAGGCCTGGTCATGTGGGCTGCTGGGTGACCATACCTCCGAGGTACGGTGGCCCAGCCTTTGGTGGGTAGCCCCCTGCTTTCCTCCCCCCTCCCCTGCCATCTCCTCCCTACTTGGTATCTTCCAACTGCTCCTGTGGGTTGCTAGGATCTTCTCCCATGGGCCCAAATAAGGAGTGTGTTTCATTGCCACTTGGTCAGGTTGTCCCAAACTAGGAGTAGAGCAGTGCCAAGCAGGGCGGGAGCACCTCTAGTGTTGAAGGATCGGGTTCCTTCCCCCTGTTGTGTGGTTGGAGGGCAGCGTCTCAGCTGAGCTTGGGAGGCTCCTCTGGAGCTCGGCTTACTGCCAAGCGCAGATGACGACAAAACTGCCCTTAGTTTCCACTGCTCCCCCCCCCCCGCTGCCCTTCTCATTGCCCAACACGTGCACAATCTTGAGGCCTGGTCCACAGATGTTCCTAAAGAAAGTTGCTTCTCATTTAGCTAGACATGACAGAACCATCCCAAACAGGCACCTGACCACGTGTTTTTGAAGATTGCACCACTCTGAGCGTGTGGGTAGCAGTTAAAACCCCCAAAAGTCACCCTCCATGACAGATGAGGACACAAGGCTGGTTTTGGACATCCATGGGAGACAGTTTGTCCTTACAGTCACTGTACCGGGGGCAAGGGTTTACAGCGGAAGACACCTACCCCAGGCTGAGAGGCACTAGGGTCCTCATCCCAAAGGACGTGGTCCCCTTTGTCCTGTCCAAGGCTCAGCCCATTGTTTATGTGCGGAGCACAAAGAGGGATGGAAAGAAATGCTACCCAGGGGCCCTTTCAGTCCATGGGCTCTAATGCCTCATCATGTCCCTGTGTCTGGATTCAGTTCCCGTGGAGAAGATGCTTTCAAACAAAAAGCATTCACCCAAGGACTCAGTGTCACTCACACCTTAGCACGTGCACTTAGCGTCTGTACAATAAAATGGAGGTTGTGGGTCGTGTCAGTGAAGGAGGCTTCTGGAGTTTTCAGTTAAACTGCCACGGACCTTCATTAAATGCCAACGTCTCGTCTCTTAGACAAATTCTCGTGACTAGGAATGATGATGGTCATTACAGCCTGTGATGGTCAGCGGAGTGTTATGACAGTGAAATGCTCCAGGCGGCTGGTCTATGAGGAGAAAAGCCCATATTTAGCCCCAGGTTCTGCCAGCTGCAGGCCTTGGACCCAAGTCTCTGGACCTCTGTTGAGGGTGGCACATCATGCCAGGAGCATATGTTGGAGCAAATTGTTGATGTCCCCAGCCCAGAATGAGAGACATGATGGGCCAGGGTCCCACAGTCCCCCTCCAGTGACCCAAAGACCTCCCAATGGTGCTGCACTGGGACTGAGCCTTTGACACACAGACCCTTGGGGGACATTTAACATCCAAACACTAGCGCTGGCTTCTGGAGGACTTGGCTGAGGACTCATAAAGGGATTGGGCCCTTGGGTGGGAGGGAGGTGAAAGTGAAGAACTGGACTGGGGAACCCACACCTCTGGCCTTCCACAAAGAGCCAGTGTTTATTTGATTTGATGTAGACACCCTGGTGTCCTGTGGCTTCTGTAGGACCCTTAGGTAACCATCACCTGTTTTAAGTCACAAAGTATCTGCTGGGATTAGCAGTGCAAGACACCAGGCTCCTCTTAGTCCTGAGGAGGAATCATCGCTCACACTGCTGGCTGCTCCTTGAGGAGCAGCATCCCTGCACTCCCCTCAGCAGTCTGGCCCACAGGTTCGGCTCCAGACCTTCAGCCACCACTCGGACAGTCTCTGGGCCTCAGCATGCCCAAGCCCCTTTCAGTGCTCCTAAGGCCCCCAGGCGCCAGACTGGGCACCGCTGGATCCCTGGTACTGTCCTCTGAGCTCCCTGCCCTTGCCCTGCCCATGCTGTCCTCTCATCTGGGAATGCCCTTCTCTACTCAGAGGGCACTCAGCTTTGTGAGCAGCTGCGTATTAGTGAAGACCTTTTGGCTGATATCACAGACAAAACTCAGGACTTGAATGGCCAAACACAAGTTTGTGTTTTGTGTACAAAATTCTTTTTTTTTTTTTTGGTCCCAGGGATTGAACCCAGGGGCCCTTAAACACCAAACCACATCCCCAGCCCCCTTTTATTTTTTATATTTTATTAGAGACGAGTTCTCACTGAGTTGCTTAGGGCCTCGCTAAGTTGCTGAGGCTGGGTTTGAACCCTTGATCCTCCTGCCTCAGCCCCCTGAGTCACTGGGATGATAGGCGTGCACCCCCAGCTCTACTCTCAGGTGACCCAGGGATCCAGACTGCTTCCATCCTATGTTTTGTTATTGAAAGGAGGAAGAAAACATGGAAATGCATACTGGATCTCAAATGCCAGGTGGGAGGGATGTAGAACTGGACTGGGGAAATGACCAAATGACACTGTCACTCTTGTCTCAATGGCAAGGAAATGTCACATGTCCCTTCCTATCTACGAGCCAGTGGACAGGAGTGTTGCCCCATGCCCAGGAAGGAGAGAGGATATGGCTGGGAACTTGAACTCTCTCCCCAAATCTGTTAGAGAGTAGGAGCTCAACCGGGAGCAAACACTGTCCTTGTTAGGCCACCACACTCATTTTTTTTTTGGAGCAGTTTCTGAGAAGACCAGATTTGCCTTGAAGTTTTAGGTGCCTGCTGTGGCTGATGACTTCAGTCCAACAGTATCCCATGGGATTGAAGAGGATCA